ATGCCATCAGATTGCTCAGGCATGACTTCCCCGTGGTGAATCCATGTTGACTACTTCTGGTAACCCTCTTGTCCTTCACAAGTTTTTGCATCCATACATCTTCTGAACACATCCTTTATTCCTCCCAAGTTGTCAGACCCTTCTTCCATGTTCAATAAACTCCCTTCTTCCACTGGCGGTTATTCCAGTAGTTCTCTGCTCAGCCATGCAGGTCTCCTGGCTCCCTTACTTCATTTCCTACTCATTGGGATGCTCCACTCTTGGGCTTGGAGAAAATGTTTCTTGAATATGACCCAGCTCTCTTAACTCCCCCAACCTTCTACTGCCCTATCCCACGGGATTTCTCCAAGCACTTCCTGAACAGGCCAAAGTCAGCACTTCTGAAGTCCAGGGTTCTGATCCAGTTTGTTGCTCCGTACCTAATGCACACAATCCTGAACTCCACCATCTCGTGGTCACTACAGTCAAGGCTGCCTCCAGTCTCCACATCCTCAACCAGGGCCTCCTTGCTTGTCAGTACAAGGTCCAGCACCACTCCTGCCCTTACTGGCTCATCCACCTCCTGTGTCAAGCAGCTATCATCACAGCACTGCAGGAACCTCCTGGACTCTGCATGCCTGGCTGTGTAACCTTCCCAGAAAATGTCACTCTCCCATGAGAACCAGCGCCTTTCATTCTGCAAATATCTTACAGCTGATGCTTAAGACTTGATTTGAGATGCTATTTGCATCTTCCCCGTCCCTCTGTTTCTCTAGACAAAGTAAAAGAAAACCTACGAATATAATACTAAGAAAGAGGAATCCCATAGCAGTGTCTTTAAGTCTGAAAATGAAGATGAGGAAGCAGAAATGCAGGAGAAAAGGGAATACTCATTCCAAAGGCCAAGCTTTGCTCAACCCAGTCCATGTCATAAAACCCACCAGCACCAGCACTGAGCCTCCACTGGAACTCTGCTGTTTGGCTACACTTCTGTACATAAGTAATACAGTAACCCATGGCCTCACAGTCTGGTGAAACTGTTGCTGCTGTACATGCAAATCTCCAGGAAGCATCACCCATAACCACCTGCAAGTGGTCACCTGCAGGCAGTAGCAAGAGACCCTCTCTGTTGAACCATGCAAAGGCTTTTTGGCAGGGTGGAAGCCTCTGTGGTTAGTGAAGAAAACCATAAGATGTTAGGGAACAAAATATGTGTAACCCTAGGCCATGGGGCTTTCTCGGTGGGTTTCAGATCACAGATCACCTATCTTGCACAAAGCAGCTTTTGCAGAGCAATTGCAAAGAAGAATGGCAAAGGGATCAGTCGAGCACCTGAAGAACTCAGCTGTGTGTCTGCAACGCATGTGCTGGGTGATAAAGAAAACGCATGGATGTATGCCACGAAACAACGCTGTCTTTCTTGCTGGCTAAAAAGACATGCTGTGCTCTGCCTTCCATACCACAAGCCTTGGCTGTTAGCAAGGAAAGACAGCAGAAACCCTGCCAAGAAATGTAATCTGGAGGCTGCAACCAAAGCATGGGGCTTGACCAGGACTTCTACAGAGCTGGAGCTGTTGTGAGCCCCCAGATGGCCGTGAGACAGCAGGCAGCAGTAGATGATCCTACCTCAGGCACCAGCATCCTCAGCCTCAATCTCTAGAGAAGTCAGGCATCGAGACACAATCTTTGAGGCACCACTATGAACCAATAATGATAAATGAGCCCAAACTCTGTGTTAGAATGGAATTTATCCAGAAATCTTTTATTTTCCATTCCTTTTGCAGCAGATGCCGAACACCGCCTCTTTACCCAAGAGGGTCCTGATGACATCACATCCTCTCCAAACAGCGACGCAGCCTCCAAGTCAAGAAAGAAAGATCACCTCTGCTCCGCTGCACCATCCCTGAGGACGGCCACCCTGAGGCGAAGATGGCCAGGACTCCTGAGCTGCTCCTTCTGCTGGCTCTGGGGCTCTGTGAGTATGGACACAGGGCTGTGCATCACCTTCACCGGGAGGGACAACTCAACCCCTTCCACAGCAATGAAGACATTGGGCTAAATAGTTAAAGGGAAAATTAAAAGCCAAGCAAAAAAGCTTCCTTTGAGGATTGCTCAGTAATTGTGGAGGCAAAGGGGGCATCGGCTCAGCCAGCGTAGGGCAGCCAGAGGGGTGGCTGGAGCCTCATGTGCAATGAGAAGGGACCAGATGGGAATTGTTCTGGAGAGGAGAGGACAAAAAAGCGCTTTAGCAATTGGTGTTTTAGAGACTCACTTCAGTTAAGGTGTGATGGGGCACTGTAGCTGAGAAGTGAGCTGAAAGGCTTTTCTGAAGGGCAGCACCCATCCCTAAAACCCAGGTGTCTGATTGCTGAGCACTCCATGCACACGATCCCAGCAAGGACTCCAATAAAACCTTAATCGGGACAACGTGTCTCCCACTTTGTATTTGATGTTGCACCTCATAGGCAAGGAACGATGTCTACCCATAGGCGACATGGCTCTTCCTGAGCAGTTCCCATCAGGATTTCTCTCCCACAGGCTGCCCTGGGATCCGGAGCCAGAGGTACTGGATGACAGCCAGGTTTCGTGACAGCAACATCACACACCCTGACATCACACCCCCTGAGATGGGACAGCGGCTGGAGCTGGAGCGTGTGACCCCCAGGGATGACAGTGGTGTATTCTGGATCCGCCAGGACAAGGGTGGGATCCTTCACTTTATAGTTTTTATCTCTTTCTCGTCTGAGACCACGTTCGAGGAATACCAGAAGACATCCACACATTTTGAGGCAAGTAAAGAAGACAAGTTCTACCAGCTGGTGGTGAAATCTTTCACATCACAGGATGAGGGGACCTATTTCTGCATCATGAACATCTACCAAATGCTGTACTTCAGCCCTGGCCAGCCTGCCTTCTTCCCAGGTCAGCCACACCTCCACCCAACCTCGCTTAGCTCTCCCAAAATGTCCAGTTCCACCTGCCCATAACTTTTGTAATCAGAATCCCACAAATTCCATTGCCCTGCTTGCTTGACCAAGGCACCTTGTAATCAGCACACCCATCGTCCTGCCAGAGGCTCCCTGCTTGCTGTTTCTTCTCATAGTATCAACTCTTTCCAAAGTAAGAGATCAATGGCAGACCCAGCATCACCTTCCCATCCCATAATATTTGTGAAGGAATTTGACAAAAACTAAGTCCTCCAGACCCACAAACACCTTCCTCATCTCATATCAGTCCCAAAAACTTCTACAAACATCAGCATACTCAGGCTTTCTGAAGATGATGGAAGAAAGCAAGAAATAAGGAGCTTGCAGTTCATTATTGGGTCTTGGGAGATGCTCCTTGGAAGTCACCATCCAAAATAGGCTCTGTGAAGATTCTCTGGAGCTGAGCCCTATGCTAGCAACATGAACAGGCATGCCCTGGCAGAAGTGGGATTGCAGAAAGGCAGGACCGAGATATTTTTTTTTTTTTTCCCTATGTCTTGGTCATTACACCAGTTGTGGGCACCTGGTGGACCTTTCCTCTTCTCTGTTCCTGCAGACACCACCGAGGACAAAGTCCTAAATTTCTCCTGTGACGTCTTCATCTGGATTCGCTTGGCACTCGTCTGCCTCCTGCTCATCCTTACCCTGTCACTCTCCATGATACTGTGTCAACGTAAGACTTGCTCATATTCCCCTGTGAATGTTCCTGCAGCCTAAAACCATGGCCCTGTCTTTCAGAGGAATGGATCTTCCAGCCATCCCCTTTACGCAAGCATCAGATAACCAGGACATAGGCAACACAAGAGTAGGACCGCTGTTAAAAATCAGTGTCTACATTCTCCTTTTCTGTAGACTTCACCTAAGAAATATTTATCAATTTCAACACTACAAGGAAATAAAAACATTAGAACTTACTCTGTGAAACTGTATTGGCCCTAACACACTTAAATTGGTGGATCAGGAGGTAAAAGTACCAGATCATGAAACGCTTTGACAGCATGTGATAATCATGCTCCAGCACAGGGCTTGCAAATTCAAATACTGATACTCCCATCACCAGCTTCAGCTATAACCCAATGAACAACTTAATTACACAGGTCCAGGGACTGCTACAGTTAAAACACTAGTGCAAAATCTGTGGGTAGGCAAAATGGGCCTCTGAAAACTGGGTAGAACAAATAAGCTCAATGAAGTTACCGTGAGCCAGGGGAATCCCTGTCCTTCACCACCAGCCTCGCTGAATGCCAAATGGGTCCCTTGGCTCCACCAGAGCTGGAAATAACACCAGCCATGGGCACCTGGCAGACCTTTCCTCTTCTCTTTTCCTCTAGAGTTCAGCAAGGAGAAAGAGCTGAATTACTTCTGTGACATCTTCCTCTGGATTCCTGTGGTAGGCGCCTGTCTCTTGATCGCCATCGCCCTGGCAGTCACTGTTGCACAGTGTCAATGTAAGTCTCACCCACAACTCTCTTTAGATGTTCCTCTAGCCTGAAACCACAGCCCTTCCTTCAGAGGAATGGATCTTCTAGCCATCCTCTTTATGCAGGCATCAGATAACCAGGACACAGTCAACCCAAGAGAAGGACCACTGTTAAAAATCAATGTCTATACCTTCCTCATCAGCCTAAGGACTAACTTGTTTTCTAGGGTAGACAGGAATCCTTTCTTTACCTTTTCCTTCCTGCCTCCAGCACAGGGCTTGCAAATTCAAAGGCTGAGACACCCATCAGCACTTTCAGCAGTAACCAAATGAACTGAGTCACACAGATTCAGGGACTGCTGCAGTTGAAACAGTGATGCAAAACCTCTTGGAAGGCAAAAGTTCTTTGGTGAAATTTCATGTTTGAAACATCTATAAATTACCCTGAGCAAGCAGTAAGTGCAGATGAATTTAAATCAATTTGCTGCCTACTCAAATCACTTTAACTTTCCTTCAGTGAGTGCTCCGACAGCCTCAGATGTTACACCGATTTCATTAAACTGGCCCTGATCAACTGCCTGGAACACCAAAGTGTTTTGCTGCTGAATTAGGCCAACTAAATCCTCCCTGATCCCACAGCCTGCAGCTGATGCAAGATGAATTTACCAGCTGAGCTAGCATTAAAAAAAATAAAATAGAGTACCATTTTTCAGTACCCTTCAGCCCTGAAGAATATTAATCACCACAGTTTGCAGCGATAGGAAGGAATATATCAAAAACCACTGATGAGCCACAGCCCAGAACCATTCTTCTTCAGGGAAAAATCACCCACAGATGGTCCAAATTCTGTCTGAAATCACCAGGAGCCATGAGCCCTCCACATGCACAGGGATTCCCCAGTGACCTGCAACACTGTTACAGATGTTTGTGGCACACTAAAACTTTGTGCATCACCCAATGTTCATAACTAACATCTCATTTGAGCACTCCCAAGGCAATTCTCAAAATTGAGCCTGGAAGTGAGAGTATTTCATTCCTTCCCTGCCCCAGAATCTTCATTTAATTTCATCACTCGACCTTCAGGGTGTGCCCATGGAGGAGATGCAAGTGACTGCACCCCAAAACCCCCTCTGCATAGTGCTGCACCAGCAACACCATGGCTTTATGCCTCTGGTGCCCCAAGCAGGCACTAACAGTGACAGAGGCTGATGCAGTCCTAGGTGACTTACCTGAGAAGCAGCAACACAGATATGTACAGCTTTAGAGCCAACCTATTTTCTAGAGCATCCAGGAATCCTTCTTTCATGCTTTCCCTCCTGTCTCCCCAACCCACCCATCCTCCTGAGTCACCAGGAAAACATTCTTGGAATAAGAATTGCAAATTCAAGCTCTTCTTGCAGCCTTCTATAGGATGATGCTGGCAATTTTCCCTTCGATCAATCCCCATTGCCAGACCTGGACAAAAATATGTTGACAGTTTTAGCAGCACAAAGGGGATTCAGGAACAGTATACAGCATCTTATTTGAGGTCCCTGGAAGCAGACAGAGGGTAAAAGAGCTGAATGGCCATACATTAATTGCCTTCTTGTTCCTTTTACATCCCAGTAAATCAAAGCCTTTGCTCTCTTTAGACCTGTGAATGGGAAGCCCAAAGAAAAACCCAGCACCTGAAGCCAACACATGTGAGCATCTGCGACTTATGCCTTCTGAATAGCCTTGGAAAGCTGACACTTCATAAGCCCAGCACCCACGTTATCTGCACTGCTACTACCTCTCATGCACTCCGCCTTGGCAGATTGGAAAAGACAAGATGGAGCAGACACACGGACAGCAAGCACGCACGTGTTTGTCTGTGCGCTGCACGCTAAAGCACAGCTCCACACAACACCAGAGGTTTTCCAATTCCTTCCCAAGGACAAACACCACCTCTGTTGCCAGGGACACAGCTCTGTGGGTCAGGCAAAAGGAACGGGTCAGGCCCCATGCTGACAGGCATCAGTGATCAGCCCATGAGAAATATGGATGTCGGCTGCATCTTTCCTCAAGAGCGTGTAATGATTCTTTCTAAAATGCATCTAAAGTTTGAATTTGCTACAAAGCTACTTAGAAA